TGATTGATTGATTGATTGATTAGTTGGGGCAGGGTCGCCCCCCCATCCCCAACAGGCCCACCACACACACACAGTATTGTATATTTTCATGTTCTAACGAAAGATTCATTCGATTTTCCTTTTTTTTTTTTTTTTGTTGATTGATTGATTGATTGATTGATTGATTGATTGATTGATTGATTGATTGGTTGATTGGTTGGTGGGGGAGGGGTCACCCCTTCCCATGACCACGGGCACACACACACACACACACACACCAGCTGTCCCGCGCGCGGGCGAAGGCGCAGCGGGGGCAGCGCACACACATACACACACACACACATCGACACACACATAGCTGTTCTCACTCTCTCTCTATCTCTCTCTCTCTCACAAGCGCACCGGCGCCGACAGCGCACACACACACATACACACACACACACACACACACACACACCTGTCTCTTATACACATCTAGATGTGTATAAGAGACAGGGTAACCATTGCCCGTAGAGAGCGCCACGCCCAAGTGGGGGCGGGCGCACCCAATTGTAACCTCCAGGTTATGGGCGGGTATGGGTACCCTTTCCAAAGGGGGAGTTGGGTATGGGCAGGCACAAACAAAAGGTGGTGGTTGTTAGGGCGGGTACAATTGCCCTTTCAGGAGATCATTAGTGTGCAGGGGCAAGTAGGGGTAGGGGTAAAAAACAAAACGGGTATGGACGGCCAGAAAAAAAAAAAGTAGACGGTTATGGGCAGGTACGGGTGGCCAAAACAAAAAAGGGTGGGTACGGGCGGGTAGAGGTTCCCATCGGGTAACCGTGGCATACCCACCCGTTCCTACGCCCCCCCACCGCCCCCGCAACCTCGTCAAGCCAGACTTGTCACTGTATCATCAAATTTGGAAAAGTATATATGGACTTGTCACTGTCCAGATACGTGTGTTGCAGTTTCTTTTTGTTTTTTGTTTTTTTTTGCCCCAAATCTTTTCCACGAGCCAGAATGCCCAGACCTTTGTTTTCTTTTTGGCCCAAAGAAATGGCAATGTGCCAACGTCTTTCCTACGCGCGCCAGAACTTTTCTTTGTTTGTTTTTTTTTTCGTGGATTTTCAAATAAGTTGTCTCCCTCGTTGTTTTCCAGCTCAAAGTTGTGCCTCTCCTGCAGAACGCCCTTCCGGCATGCTCAGATGTCGTGTTTTTTAGCTGGAAAAGGTACCCGTGATTTAACAAACGATTTGGGTTCAGGTGGCCATAGGTGGTTTTGAAAAAAAAAACTCATGGGTACGTATGGTTAGTTACATGCTGAAGAGGTTCACGTAGGGTAGGTCTGGGTATATATATATATATATATGTATTTTTTTTTTAGCAGGTGGAGATGGGTAAACGTTCGGCAGGCCATGTATTCTAAAAATCCCAGTTACGAACTCTAGGTTGAGGGTTGTCAATTGTAAGTAGGTGTCGGAAGGTGGATTTGGCAATGAGGGGGGGGGGGGGGGGTTTGGGTTACATTTTTTAAGAGACATCA